CCTTGTGGGCAAGTGAGAGCTTGTAGGAAGGTTTTTTGTACCAGTTCACTCTCAGGCTTTTATTTCAAAGCAGAAGAAACTCTAAATATTACTTGTAATGCAGAAATTACTGAAAGGGGAGACCAGCATGTGACGTGGCTGTTGGTGCTTTTAACTTCATTCTCATGTTTTTGAGGGCTCTTGTTCTTAGCAAAAAGGCTCTTTAGCTGTGAGTTTTCAGAGAAACCCCTTGGCTTTTCTATATTTTATTTATTTACAGCTCTTCCTCATTTAGAAGGACAGCAAAGTAACGCTGGGATTGCCTGAGGGAAGCTCTTGCTAAGAAGCTTTCCAAGAATCATGAAAGATTCAAGTCCTTTCATGTCATCCTGCAGAGATATCTGCCCACCCTTCCCTCACCACTCTTTTTGGTTCAGTTTGCCATTGGGTTCCATCTGGATTAGAGGAAGACAAAGCTCTGAGCTTCTCAGCATTTAGCTAGTCAAGAGTGAGAGATCTGGGTGAAAAAAAGAGCAAAACAAGGTTAGTGGATCAAGGGCTGGTGATGGGCAGGCTGCTGTGCTGGCACTGCCCAGGGCTGTGATAATACTGGGGCTGCCCAGGCTCTCCTAAAATAACAAAGAGACAAACTGCACTGGCTGCTGGGGATTTTATCATCAGGGCTGGACCCACAGGATGGAGAGGGTGCTGTAGATCTGATCGGCCCCAGTTAGAACCATCTTCTCAGAAGTCCCATTAGCTGCCTTGCTGCTGTTGCCCATGGCAGTAAATGGAATTAATTAGGAGAGGGTCTCCAGTGTAAAAACTCAAGGATGGGATGAGCCAGACTGCTGAACTCTGAGCAGCCAGGCCCTTGCTGGGGTTATTGCTGTAATGGCTGGGAAACATTTCTGGTTGTCATGACTTCCCTCCCCTCTGCTGAACCATGGATGCTGGGATTGGCCTTGACCCTGTGTTCTGTCATTAACATTATTTTGCTGATATTTATTTAGATTTTAGTGATCAATCTTGGAATTGAAAAAGTAGCTTTTTTCTGTTGGAAAATTCTAAGTAGGGTTTTTAAATATGGAATATCAGAGCAGCCAGACCTTGGAATCAGCTGCTCTTCTGTGCCATGGAGTGCATGGACCTGGAAAAGAGTTGGCCACCAAATTCCCGGATTTCGCCTCAACACATGTTGCCCCATCCCTGGAAATGTCTGGGGCCAGGCTGGACAGGGCTTGGAGCAACCTGGGTTAGTGGAAGGTGTCCCTGGCCATGGTAGAATGGATGGGCTTTAAGGTTGCTTCCATCCCAAACCATTCTGGAATTCATGTGGTGGAACCAACATCTACATCTCATGTTTAATACTGGAATTAAGAAGGTTCCTCTGGGTGAGGCTGAGTTACTAAACTAAGGTTTTAAAAGAGCCAAGGATCCTCTTGGGAGTTCATGCTTTTAGTGTAGTAATAGAAATAACACCAGAAGAACTGAGAAAAAAAATAGAAGACTTCTGTTGTGGCAAAGTAAACTTTGTGAAGGAAATGCAGCTTAAACAATCTTAGTGCACGTTTTAAAAAGACATGAGTGACACCATGAATATTTGAAGCTTTTGATCAGTGATGCAGAAATGAAAGGAGCAGCACGTGCAACTGTGATTAATTATTGACAAAAGTCATTTCTTGCATGTGTGGAGCCTGTAGTGGGACATGAAGGTTGAGTTCACTGGAATTCCAGAGCTGGGTAGTAATGCAAACAAGACTCCAATTGATCAACTTCATACATGTGGTTCTATTTATTATGCAAATCTCTTCCAATGTGTTTAAATCAACATGTGGTGGTGGGGGGTTGCAGCTTGAGGATTTTTGTGGGCTGCAGAATTTGGGCTCTGCGTGCTCCAGTTTGATGGATCCAGTGGTTCATGCTGTAGCTGTAAGTCAGTTTTCTTTATTTAGGAAAATAATCCCCAAACCTGCTTGTCATGTTCCGTCTGTGAGCATTTGACCTTTTCACCTTAACTTCACTGGATCTTGAATAAATCAGTTTTTCCTGAGATATTCCTAGAAGCTGGTTTAGGTGGAGGGTGCTTCCATGTCCATCCCAGTGATGGCACACAAACCTCACACTGCAGAAGAGACCAAATGCTGTTTCATGCCATGTTCTGTGTTTAGCTGTGGTAATTCCTTCTAAACGTGCCAGTGTAATTGAATCTCATGGATCTCCCAACAGAAATGAGTTGGTTTTATTTTTTTAAAGGGCATTGGAAGACCTTACGTAAATTAATTGCAGATCGAGGATAATAGATGTGAGAGATCTTAGTTTAAATTAGTTGGGTTGAGGTCAAAGCGTTTGGGTTTTTGGTGGTGATTTTGTTTGGTTGTTTTTTTTTTGTTTGTTTTTTTTTGTTTGTTTGTTTGTTTCACAGATGTATTTTGGCAATAAAATGGAATTCAACTCTTCTTAATTATTTTGGACACTCAAAATCTGTGGGGGCAGGAACCAAGGGCTTTATCAAAAAAGGGGAAGATAGCTTTCTCAAGAAGTCTGGCACCTTGTCAAATGACTTATTTCTTACATTGCTAATCATGACTAGAAGGCATCTATTGCCCCATATTGAGGGTCCTTGAGACCTGATAGTTTTGGAAGGTCCTGGTGTGGGGTTTTGGTGCATTTTGATGAAGGAAGGACCAAGTAGGAGCAATAATCCATGTCCTCGGGCTGGGTCATCCGTCCTTTCTGCAGCTGCACACCTTCTGCTTTGTCTTTTGGCCTCTGTGCTTTCTGGAATTTTAGCTTTCATTGCCTCCCTGATTTGTCCTTCATGAAAGCACATGTATTCCAAAATAATATTAATTTTTTTATTATAGAGAAAAGCAACAGTTTTGTGATGTTCTTGTTACCCTTGTGCAGCTCCCTTCTGGCTTAGCAGGTTTTTTTGCCATTCTCCAAGTCAGCAGCAGTGATTTGCTCGCTCATCTTTTTTTAATCTTCCATGGTGATAAAATCCAGTGGTTCTCTTTTATGGAAGCTTGTTGACATTTATTAGGGAGTTCTCCCAGTTTGTTTCACACATCCAAACCTCCACGAGTCAGGGATAAGAGACCAATGGTTTTCCTTGACTCCTGAGAGTCTGGAGATGAGCTGAAACCTCCTCATCCCCTTCAGCCTTAGCTGCTTCTTCCCAAATCCACAGCAGCTCCAAGCAAACCATGAGAGTTGATGGTTTCCTGTTAGGGCAGTGACATTTTTCCCAGTACCCAATCTAAAGCTCCCCGTTGCAATGCTCCCTGTCTGGGAAAACGTTCCTTCCCACAGGAAGGTAGGAAAACATCCCAGAGCAAGCTGTGGTCCCTTTGGAATGCCTCAGTTGTGGGCAGGTCTTGCATGCAGGGTTCCCCAATGGAAACTGCTGCTTGTTTTATCTCCTTCTCAAGTTCTTGGCACCTGGGTGTGGCACAGAAAGGTTTTCCTGGGGGTTTGGATCCAGTGGGACTTCAGGTCATGGAACAGGAGCTGCATGACCACAGTGTCTTCTCTTGCACCTGGAATGCCAAAGGTTAACCCAATTTCACTCTGGTCCTTTGGTTTTCCTTCCACTGCCAGTGAGTGTGTGGGAGGCAGCTTGTGCCTGTACCAAAATATTGATTCTTTTCCATGTGTTTTCATGTAGATACACACAGGATTTATTCATGGCTGAAATACAAAGGGATTGGCTAGATAAAACTGGAGAAGGTTTCCCAGTTCCTGGCTAATAGGTCTTTTTTTGGGATATTGAGGCAAAAGCAATATATTTCACAGAGATAGACTGAAAACCACAAGTTTGCTTTGTGATTGTTTTTAGGTGGGTGCTGGGAGAGCTTGGATGGGTTTGTGAAGTCAGTGAGGGTCGCATCTGGAGGAGGAAATTGCCTCCAATTTCTTCACTCTCCAGATGAAAGAATCAAATGAAACAGCCTTCTCCTCCTGCTGATGGGTGGCTTGGAGGGGGAAGCAGAGGCTGGCAGGGACCATAAGAGGCTTCTTTAAAGGTGTAACCTTGCATCTCTTATCTTCTGTGCCATCAGGGACTGGTTGGAACACCAGGAATCTCAGTGCTGCTCCACTTCCACGAGCTGGAGCTGATCTGCTCAGCAGGAGCATCCTGTGTTGCACAGGCATTCAGCTGGTTTGGGTGGTTCCAGAGGGGTTAAATCAGCATCCACGCTGGATTTGTAACAGGAACATCACTGCTTACAGCTGACCAGACCTTTATGGCAGGAGCAAAATGATAACTGTTTTTAAATACAGAAAAATAGAACCTTATTTCTGTTCTATGGTGTGGAATTGTCAGTGAGGTGGGAGCCAGGTGCAGCCCAAAGAGCTTAATTTCTGTGATAAACTTGCCTTTCTTCAAGAAATCAACCCCTGCCCGAAGTAGTTTTTAATTAATTTTGTAGTAGACGGCTCTGTGGTTTATTTCTGCCTAGATTATGTTACTGGAAAAATTGTGTGTTTGAGGAATAAAGAGAGATTTTCCCCTGCCTGAGCAAGGATGTTCCCACTGACTCTGGTTGCTGCAGTTGCTGACATGAAGTGTGATGTGCAGTAGAAAATAACATGTTTCAGAGCCAGCAAATTTCCTTATTTACCTGGGTGGAGAAGTTACTGCAGATGGTGGCTGGCAGCTGCAGTCAGTGAGTGACAAACCCAAGGCTTTTCCTGGGGGGAAGGAATGTGTTGTGGATGGGAAATGGCTTAACCAGGTACACACTGGGAGAGCCTTTGCTCTAACTGGAGTTGGTTTTGAGCTTTGTGATGATGTGGGAGCACCTGCTGCTGGAAGCAGATCCGTGCAGAATGGGAATTTCTGGGATTTTTTTTATGCCATTTCCCCAAGCCCCTGGTTTTTGTCACGTTGGACTGTCAGCCTCCCAAGAATCAGACCTTTGGTCTCGCGTTCCCAAAGCCACGGCATGAAATTGTGTGCAGCAGAGCATTAAATGTCATTATCCTGATGTTGGGAATGTTCTCCTCTTCCACAGATGCCTTTGTAAATAGCCAGGAATGGACACTGAGCCGATCTGTACCCGAGCTGAAAGTGGTGAGTTCATGTTTGCTCCTGTCTTGGAACATCCTGGAGCTGTCACACATGAATGGGGATCTTCCATGCTTCATTCCAGCTGCTGGTGGGGAAAAATGTAGGGAGTAGGTTTAATGAGGAAAGAATTTTTCTTTACATAGCTGTTACAGTTTCACAGAAGGGTTTGGACTGGGAGGGACCCCAAAGCTCATCTCATTCCACCCCCTGCCATGGACAGGGGCATTTTCCACTATCCCAGGTATCTCCAAGCTCCCTCCAGCCTGACCCTGAACACTTCCAGGGCTGAGGCTATCTTTATGAAGATGTTGTATATTCAATATTCATTTTAATCATACTTCAAAGATCTCTCAGTATTTTATTGCTGTTTGAATTTGTTCTGTTCCATGAACCAGTTTCCAAGGGGGAACTTCTCAGCAGGGAAGTCTTACAAGGGCAGTGGAAGTTAGCAGCTGACATGTAAAGCTCATTTTATCTCTCCATAATAAGTTTCCATGATTTCAAGATCCAAATGTCTATTCTCCCTCTCTTTAAAGAATTTAAACCCTTTCCAGCATCTGAGTTGAAAATAGTATTTTGTGGAGGTGAGAGAATCTGCAAGGCCACACTTAACAGAATAAATGCACTTAGAGAGGCATTTTAATGGGAGCAGCATCCTCACAACTACAGTTCTGTGGCTGTTTTGATTTTATCAGTGCTCAAGGTGAGTAGAAGGAAAATCTAGCAGTCAGTGGATGCAATTCCCTAATACAGGAAGGGTCACCAGGTTTTGTTAAACAGGTGGTGTCATTTGGAAGACCCCAAATACCTCACACAATGAAAAACCAGGAATTCAGGACTGGAAGGTGTTGGTTGGGTAGGAGCCCAGCACTGTTAGCTGGCTTCTCCTGGGTTTCCTTGCACATCCTTCCCCTTCTCTGAGTCTTGCTAATTCACAACACCCCCAGAGAAAATTGGGAATTGCAGGTGAGAGCAGAGCTGCAGGCACTCCATGCTGTGATTTAGAGCACAAACAATCTCCAAGCACCAGGTGATGGTCTCAGGATACATTTTTCTCTTGTGCTAGCCTGGCTGCATCATGTGAGGGCTTACTTTGGGTGTCCTACTCCTGAGCTGTCTGCAGCAGGGGTGGGAAAACAGCTTTCAGCTGCGTGGCTGCTGCAGAGAATTGATTTGCAGTGGTCAGCATGCCACGAGAGCTGTCCAAGGGGAAAAGCAGAACTTCTGCTCTTACAAAAATAATAATCTGATTATAGCACTGCAAATGATGGAAGGCAGCAGCACCAGCTGTGCCTGTGAACTTGTGCTCCAAAAGGAAGGGTAAATTAGGAAGCCCAGCTGAAATCTGCTCTGCCTTTCCTGCACATCTGCCCCTGGGGAGGGGTCAGGGCCGTGAGTCACCTCTGTCATTCCCTTACTTCAGCCTCATCCTTGGTGCTCCTGGGGCTGGGGAGCATAAGGACCATGTTAAAGGGACAGGTTGTCCTCCTGTACAGGCTGGGAGGTCTTTAAATTGATTGTTATTGTTCTTTATTTTTGATTTATTTGTAGAGTGGCTGTTGTTTTACCCTTTGGGCTCTGCAGAATTTTAAAGGGAACAGAAACTGTCTCTGGGAGAGCAGAGAAAGCCCCCAGGGCTGCAATAAAGGAAGGAGGTATTTTTCAGTGTGCTTCTGTGGAAAGAACTCCATCATTTCTTTAGCAACACGAGGCCTAGTTTCTTTCCAGTGCTCAGAAGGATATTCCAGGCCACCTTGGAGTGGTTTGGAGCAGCCTGGAATAGTGGGAGGTGTCCCTGCCCATGGCAGAGGGAGGAATAGGATGAGCTTTGAGGTCCATTCCCACCCAAACCAGTCTGGAATTCTATAACTGGTTCCTGCTGATCCAGTACTTGGGTTTTACTTACGGATTTTGATGCTTTTATTGTCGTCAAGAGCATGGTGAGACCACTACCTTTGGTGTTCCTGGGTCCTGTTTATTCAAATATTTAGAGAGGGTGTGTTAGGCAGAATAAACATGAGAAATTTCTGGATAAAATCACTGAATTTCTTGCACAAAAATATGCAAAGTGCAGTCAGGCTCCTCTTCTGGACAGCTTTAAAATGCCAAGTGCCATCAATACAGTTTATGATTTTTCCCAACAGGCTTTAGGAGGCGTGGGCAAAGTGGCTTTGGTTTGGTTTACAGCATGTCTGGCACATGGAAATAAATGATTCAGTGTTGCACAAGTCATAACTGAAAAGAGCAGTGAGTTGTAGCTGAATTTTCTCTTCTCTGAACTGGGTTAAGGTGGTATTTTTGTTCCCTAACATGCTTGTCATAACTTGGTGCATTTCAGACATATCCATAAATAAATGGAGATAGCTGGGATTGTTTGTGTATAAAGCAGGGGAGAGAGGAATATGACTGCTGTGAAAACAGACTGGCATTTTTGTCATGCTGTGGGGGATCAGCCTTAAAGCAAATATTAATGCTGACAAAGAGAGAAACTGTATCAGAAGTCAGTTGTTTTTTTTTTTTTTTTTCCTCAGTGTAGAATTTATTGCTCCTACTTTGTAGGAATGTGTCAGAGAGCCTGAAGTGCTGTCAAATGGTGTAACCTGGTATTCCTGAATCTTTTGAAGTCTTTCAAATATTGGGGGTTTCTGGATAGAATAAGACATCCCAGCTATGGAATGTTGTCTCTGACTGGACCCCCAGGTTGATGCTTTTCTGTTGTTCCTGGCAGTTACAGCTTTGGCACAAGTGTAATAGAAAATAACATTAATTTCCATCCACACAAGGCTAATCACTTGTAAGTGAAGGTTTCACTGGAAAACTGTTGTCTTGGTCAAATGTGTAGGCCATTAAAAATACAGTTTCACACACTAAAATAACGAATTTTCAGTGCATGAGGGGGATTTTCTACGTTACTGTGGGCTAAAAAATAAAAAAGGGAAGGAAGCTCTGAGTGGAAGAGGAGGAGATGGTGTTAGTTTGGTGATGAGAAGAGGTGCCAAGGCCAAGCTGTTTGCTCACAGGGGTCCCTCAGGTCTCAGTGAGTTTGTGGTGTGAGTGGGAGTAGACAAATCTACTGCAGTTCGTGGGCATATAATGGAGGGAAAAGTCATTAATTGGAGAGGTTGCTTCATGTTCTGGGGGTAAGGGACACGTGTTAGAGATGTCATTTTCTTCCCATGACTCATCCCAGAATCCCTGCCTCCCCTGCTGCCCATGCTATGGGATCAGCCCAAGGCAGGGGGGAATTTGGGGTGAAAGCACACATGGCTGGGTCCTATCAAACCATTTTTGATAAGGAGGGTGGTGTTGGGATTAAGAAGATGGGGCAGGGAACATGCAGCTCCTTGCTGCTGCCTCGGCCTGTTTGGCAGTCCCAGGCAGATCAGCAGAGTTCATCTTCTCCCCAGGGACCTTCTGTTCTGAACCTCAGTGAGGGTCAAGTAAACAGGAGAGAACAGAGCAGGCTGGGCTGGTTTCGGAGGGGGAAAGAAGTTTCCATCACCTCCCTCCCCCAAGAAGGGAGCACAGTGTCCTCAGCTCTGTGCATCCCTTTAAAGCCACAAACCCCAAGTCTCCTCAAGTCCTTTATTTGAGCACCTCCAGGAAGAAAACTATGGGGTTGTGCTGGAATATTTCCCTGGGAGGGTGGGGAGGCCCTGGCACAGGTTGCCCCATCCCTGACAGTGTCCAAGGCCAGGTTGGGCAGGGCTTGGAGCACCCTGGATAGTGGAAGGTGGTGGAACAAGACGATCTCTAAGGTCCTTCCCACCCCAAACCACTCTGCATATTTTGCACCATGTCTGCTGCTTGGGGATGTTACTTCTGTGTGCAGATTTTGCTCGAAGACACTGCTTTTTACAGGGATGAATGGCAGTTGAATTTTTTGTTGCTTCTTTTATTTTCCATTGCAGGGGATCGTGGGTAACCTGGCGAGTGGGAAGTCGGCGCTGGTGCATCGCTACCTGACCGGCACCTATGTGCAGGAGGAGTCACCTGAAGGTGGGTGCAGCCACAGCTCCCACCCTTCCTTCTCCCCCACAAACTACATCCTTACTCATTTTTGATCATGTAGAAATGGACTGGAAAAAAAAAAATCTCATGTGCTACTTCAAAATGCATGGAGATTTTTGCTTTAACGTTCTCCAGATCGAGCTAAGTATGTACAGTTATAATTGTAGATTTTCCATAACTGCTTAGCATCCTTTAAATACTTCGGCCCCCAGTGTGTGTCCATATGGAAATTAGTCCTGATGGAGAGGAGCTGAATGCTCTCAGTAGGGCTGCTGCTTTCACTTGGGTTGTTGAAAGCCACAATTACTGTCTGTAGTGGTGGGTTTCTGTACAATCAGGATACTGGAAGAATAAAATCTTACCTAAAAAGGTGTAACTTACTTACTGTTTAATATATTAAATATTTGGTCTTTTTTAAATGTTCTTATGGCATAGAAAATTAATTTGTATGCTGTAGTGTTTAACATTAATCCAAGTTTATAGCTTGAAATCGAAAATATCACAGTACCTTATCAAGGTTTATCTTGCAGTAAATACTTTTTTGATTATTTTTCTTTATCTGTTCTCCTTATGAACTTTTAAATCCAACTCTGAGACACTGAATTTCTGGTTCCTTCTTTTCTTTACTGGCTGTTCCCTTCTTTGCAGATATGGATGCAGGTAACTATACATTGTCTTCATGGCAGCTCTCGTTTTGAAGGGCCAGATGGTGGTTTCTGTACTAGAGCGTTTTCCCCCTTGTTCTGTGTATCATTTTGAGTTGTTTCCTTTTGATTTCAAGTCTTTAGTACATCTCACTGTTTTTGTCTCTTGCTGTAGTTGTCTCTTCAGCAGTAGTTTGTAGTTCCATGCATCTCTGATAACATTTGTTTCTAATTAACTCTTGCCACAGGAAGCTGGTTTAGCTTGATAGCTGACATTTTAACAGCCTGGAATTGTAGTTAAAATGGGAGGAGAGGGGAAGGGAGGGATGGACAAGGCTTTTGCTGTGGAATTGCACTAACACTGAGGTCCTGCAGTTTGTAAGTTTGCCCTAAATGCTTCTGCTGGTTTGTAGCTGGAGCTGTCAATAATAATTGATGATATTGAGCCTGTGCACAGAAGTGTGTGTGGATCATGCTTCTGGATGCTGATAGTGAGAAATGCTGACAGAGGGTGTAGTGGAACTAAGTACAGCAAATCTTCAGCAAAAATCTGTCTTGACAGATCTCTTCCTTCACTTCATGAATAGAGAATATTTGTTTTGGTTTTTTTTTCCCCTTGGAAGATTCAAATCTACTGACTGTTGACAGGGCTAACCCTGCTCCCCTCCTGAAGGATGAATATTTTAGGTGATATTCCTTGGGAGTGTTGCCATCTGTCCTCTTTGTCTTGAAGGATTTTTATTTACAGTGCTGGAGTGACGTTGTGACTATTTTTCCTGAAAGGATTAGATGACAAAAGCAGTGTCAAATCATTTCTCTGCACACAAGTGTAGCTGACAAGCCTCACTAATGACACTGTTGCATTTCATTAACAGGAGGAAAACTGGAATAATTAAGAGCTCGGATTCTCCGTGTGAGGGATCAGGTCAAGGTTTCCAATCAAGTCAGCATTAAAGGAAATTCGACCCATATAAATTACCCTCAGTAAACATCTGCAGTGGTGATGTGGTAGTGTCTTACTTCTCTGTCAGAGAATCACAGAACCACAAAGTGGCTTGGGTTACAAGGGCCTTTAAAGCTCACCCTGTTCCACCTCCTGCCACGGGCAGGGACACTTTACACTGTCCCAGGTTGCTCCAAGCCCCCTCCAACCTGGTCTTGAGCACTTTTAGGTCCTTCAAACAAGTCCCTAGAGAAGTGTAATCCTTCATGTTGGAGACCCTTGTGGATCCTCTCCTCTCTCCTTTTCTGAGGAGACTATAAATGTGTCAGATTGTTAAATTGGATAAAGAAGAGGAGGTATATCGGATGTGAAGGTGTCAGATGCTTGATCAGTTAAGGAAAACCCGAGTTTACTGGCTTGGAATGGCTTCCTAACAGCTAAATTTAACAGGCATCATAAAATCAGTGCCTAATGGGTGAAGTGATGGATATTTGCTTCACGTGAAAGTGGTGATTAGGGCCAGGGACTGCTATTTCTGCTCGCCTCTGCCTTCTAAATTGCTGCAATTACCAGGAAACCTGCCCTGCATCAGACAAGTGCCACATCTCCTGTGGGCCCTGAGGGCTTCAGCATTCCACTAAATGAATTTTAGCTATGTAAAGATGGTTTCAAGTTTCCTTCAGCTCTCCAAGTGAGAAATTTCTCTTGCTGCCCATCACCACCTCCCCACCAGAGGGAGGAACCCTGCACTTTGCAGTGGAGTTTTCTCTCACTGCCTGCCCCAGTTTTTATTTCTGCTCAGAACTTCAGTCCCTCATGTGTTTGCAACTTGCAAACCTTTGTTTTCTCAAAGAATAAGTTTCTATTAGGAAGAAAAACGGCCTTGAGACTCTTCCTTTGCATATTTAACATACACGCAGCTGTGCTGCTGAGCGACACATTTTAAATCAGGTGTAAGAAAAGCAGCAATGTGTTACCTTGTTGTAAGTGGGGAATTTCAGTACTTTGGGACTTTCAATTTTTTTCTGTGAGGATACAAGAAGGAAATTATTGTAGATACATATTTTAATATTGGCTTTTTGCAACTATTAAGATGGATTTTATATGTGCGATGTTAAAGGAACTTTGTTATAAAGATATAGTTTTTATTTCTGTTGTTAATTAAGCTTAGACATAGTAGTGAAATAGCTGATATAAGTATGCTTGTGTTAGAATACCTACTTAGAGAAGATAATATCTAAGAAACATATGAGGACACCTACTACAGATATACCAACTATCAATACTCACTGTCTGTAAACCAAAGGCAAAAAACTGGAGGTGATAAGAACAGACTAACACCATAACCAAAGAATACACACACTCGAAAAAACTAGACCCAAAAAGAAGATATACTAAACAGTTCTTGGAACATGTAAACTAATTTGAAGAAAAGTTTACTATGCGTAAGAGTCCATGAATACACAACAAGCTGATATAAAAGGAAAAGCATTTAATGAATATCCCCAAAGAAAACAATGTAGTCTGTAATCCTTATCTCCTATTATCCTGTACTAACTTTAAACTTTTTAAATTTCATAAGAGTAAATGTGCTTTTTACAGAAATTATGGGAGATAAGGAATTCTAGGGATTTGTGGTCTTAAAAGGACCTTCTCAGCAATTGGAAGGAAAACTACTACTGCTGGGTACTTGACCTGCTGAAACAACAAGTAAGGTGTGGGAAATGTGGCTTTATTTTCCCCCATCTAGAATTTAATTCTGCCTGTAGGAGCCAAGGGAAATGTGTGGTGTATGTGGAATTTGAGACTGAATTCTTTGCAGACCAAGGTGAACTAAAGCTTACAGGAGTAGTGAGTGGCGGGAGGATTCGGTTACTTGTTTAGGTTTTGTTTCCAAAAAGCCACATAGGTGTGAAACATGACTTAAAGGCTTTTCCACATCTCTGGCATGTCTCTGAATATTTTAAGTCATGTTGTGATTATTTCAGTACTTTGTTTTCCAGTGAGTCTAATAAAACAAAACAGTGAGTCTAATAAAACAAAACAAAACAAAAAAAAACCCAAAAAACCCAAGAAAAATGAAAAGACAAACTGTGGTCCAGGGTGTTTCTGCTGGGATGACAAAAAGGAGGTTTTTTCTCTATGTACTCTGGGATTCATGTGGACTAATTACTTTTAGTGTTTTAAAAAGCATAAAAGCCATCCACCATCCTGACTTCAGGCAGCAGGTAGCTGTTGCAGTCAGTGGAGGTTTCATCTCTCTTTGTGGTGGAAATTTTTCCCCCAGTAAAAGATGCAGAATAAAGCCTTTAATGTGTTTTCCAGAAAGCTGTGAACATTTACTCTCTTTCCAAATTTGACCTAAAAATACTGCAGCCTTCACCACAGAACTTTTTTCAGCACTACAGTGAGCAGGGTAACACTTGAATGGCAGGAATGGTCTTGTTTAATATTAAAATACCAAATGAAGTGTCACCCTCAGCCTTCCTTTTGAAGCATGTCATGAAAGTATCATGAAAATAGGTTGCCAGCCTGTACTAAAAGCATGCATTGGTAATCTTCAAGCCTTTTCCAACCTAAAGGATTCTGATTCTGTGTAGGAATTACATCTTGAGGGATGGGTGTCCATGTTTTTCAGTTTATCTCCAGTAACTATTCCTGGCTGATGCTTCCTCAGCAAAGGGTAATTATGCAAGGAGGATTGAGGAAGAGTGCTTTAAAATTTCAGCTGCTTTTGTTCACATCCTCTTAAGAGATTTTCTCTTGGTCACAGACCCTTACACAGTATCTGTGCAGAAAGTTCAGGCATAATCTATTAACTGGGATGACCTTCCAGGTGTCTTTATTCAGGTCTGATCCTGGGCTGGATCCAAGAGTGTGGACCTGCTTCACCTGGGGAAAAAAAAAGCAAAGGGATAAAAAAAGGATAAAAACACTGCCCCCATCCCTGGAAGTGTCCAAGGCCAGGCTTGGAGCACCCTGGGTTCGTGGAAGGTGTCTCTGCCCATGGCAGGGGTATAATGGGATGGGCTTTAAAGGCCCTTCCAACCCAAACCACTCTGGGATCCTTCTTTGCTTGCTGGGATTGTGCTGAGAGATTTCACCTTGGGTAGTTTCTGTTTTGGGTTGAATAGAGCAGGGAAGCTGAAGCAGAACTGGACAATTTGTCCCCTCTGCAGCACTGGGATTCTTGTCCCTTTTCCACATGATTCATGCAATTCTGCCTGCTGTGAACAATCAGGTTCCTGAGGCTACCAATCTCTTTACAGAAGCCACTTGCTATTTTTATCTAGTTAATATTTTTCAAATACCTAGGAAGGCTGTATTTACTAAACACCCAAATTTGATCTTTGGTGAATAAAGGGAGGATGTGTCCCAGACTAATCTGTAAGCTCTGTTCTCGGTGAGCAGCTGGCTGAAATGTAAATGCAGAACAGAGAAATGTCCTGTGAGGATGTACTTGGAGCTTTCCTTGGAATCATTCATGCTTACTCATTGAGGATTTTTTGGAATTCCAGAAAATCACCATCAGACATGTCAAAATGTACACAGAGCTTACACAGGGAGACTTTGCAAGAATCCCAACATGAGTTTAAAAAAGCCACGTTAACCTTAAATTTGCATTTTGTGGTTTCTGGAGGGCAAAAGAGAATTTCAGAGGAAACTGAATATTTTTTTTGTGTTGGTTTCAAATCCTTGGTGCAGTTTTCACGAGCCCCCTCAGCACTTTGGGGCAGATGAAGGTTTTTTTTTGGCCTGTCAACCCACAGGCAGATTCTGTCTGGTGTTCAGAAGACAGTGATGACTTGGGACATGTGTTTCAAAATTACCTCTTTCCAGTTCTTTGTCTTTCTTTTTGCTGCAGTAGTACCGAGTGATTATTTTTATTTGGCATTTCACGCTGACACCCAGATATAAGACAACACTTGTCTCTTTTTTGATCCCTTTAAAGCACTGCTACAGAGGGTTCTCCTGGGCTTTTGGAGCCTTTCAGGCTCAGCATAAAAGATGGTGTTGATGCATTCTGCCCTCTCCCCTCTGGAGCCCTTCCCTCTCCTGGCCCTCCTAGGACT